TAAAGAGGAGAGACACTGAGCTGGAGCAGCTTTCACCACAGAGGATCCATCCCATATTTTCCTACAGTACTATCTGTCATATACAGTCTTCTGCAAAAGTTTGGGCACCTTTTGTCAAATGACCTGTTTTTTAATGTTCTAATGAAAATAAGTACACATCCTCTCAGAGAACAACGTCGGTACATTTTAAATTCACTGTTACGACCTGTCTAGGGGTTTGAGATGGTCATAACTAAAAAAGAGAGCCAGATGACGTTTAAACAGATCAAGTCGTGTTATTTTCTTTTCTTTAGCCGCTCTTTTTGACCCACGACACAGGACAGCGTCAGAGTGGGCATGCGCCAAACAACAAACATACCAGCCTAGCTAGAGGTTTTAGAGAACTAACTTACCTATGAGGAAATAGAATAACAAAATACAGTCAGTCTTCCCTAAATCATAAGAGTGAACGTTTACAGAGAAAGATCATGAGCGTACTGCCAAACAGTAGAGATAACTGGGTATAGAAGAGGTTAAGCTAAGCTATTTCATTTGAGATGAGGACAGACAAAGAGCTGCGATTCAGATCTAAAAACAATCGCCCCAAGCCGCCATGGAGGAAGCCTTGAGGACATCCAGCAGCTGTTGAAGGAATACTCCATGCAATTTCAGTCAGCCAATCAGATGCAATCATCGTTACGGGACTCCAGCCAATCACGCACACAAGTGGGCGGGTTCCTAATAAGCGGAGTGTGTGTGTGTGTGTGTGTGTGAGAGGAGAGAGAGAGAGAGAGAGAACGAAAGAGAAGCAAGCAAAACAAACATACGTTCTAGGGAAGTAACATGCACAACTTCTCTTATTTGGGCAAATTTAATGAGATGTTTTTCTCTAAAATGTTGAACTTGTCAACAGAAACAGTGCATTAAAATTTGGAGATCAATGCTACCTGTAAGGATGTATTTACTTTATTTGCAAATGGAGAACCAACAAAAACATATTTGACCAGGGGTGCCTAAACTTTTGAATAAAACTGTATCTGTGTGAAATCACTGATCTGTCTTTGCTCTAAAATATTTCATCATTTTTGTTCACCTTTATTTCTCTGTTTTACAACTTTGGTCTCTGTAGAGTTTCAGTCTCTCTCTGTGTCTCTTCTGGATCTGAGGACTCACCCAGCACACTGTCCATCCAATCTCTCATTTGATGGAGTGAGGAAATCTCTCTCTGATCTGAAGGAGACTAGAGGAATCTGCAAGCAGGAATTCAGTAAAATCTCTCCACATGGTAAGAGGAGCTTCCTGCTGTGAACATGATGAACTTTTTTCTCTCTTTCTCTCTGTTTACTGTTGTGATGTTGGTTAATTATGTGAACTGTGCTGTGAATCTTTTCTCTGCTTCTTTATTTCTGATGAAGTATTTCAGTCTCCTTCATTCAGTCTGATGATCATTGTTGGTTTTGTGTCTCCACAGTTTCAGCAGTTCAGATATTTTAACCCTCAGAGCCAAAAACCAGAGCAGATTTTCTACAGTGTATTAACACAATACACACACACACACACCACACTCACTCACACACATGCACACACACTCACTCACACACACAAACACACACTCACCTCACACACACGCACACACATCACTCACACACACGCACACACACTCACTCACAACACACAAACACACACGCACACACTCCAAACACACACTAATCAATAAAATGTAAACAATAAGAGTAGAAGAAAGGAAATTCTATCAAGTAGAACTTTTTTAATATATACCTTCTGTGAATAAAGAACATATGTTTTCTTTTCTTTTGTTGTGTTAGTTTTCTGTCGTCTGACTCTGGATCCCAACACAGTAAATTACTACCTCAGTCTGTCTGAGGAGAACAGAGTGGTGACGTGCAGTAAAAACAAACAGTGTTACTCTGATCATCCAGAGAGATTTGACTACTGGTATCAGGTTTTGAGTAAGAGAGTCTGTGAGTGGACGCTGTTACTGGGAGGTTGAGTGGAGCAATAGTAAGGATATGGACTGTACATATCAGTCTCATATAAAGGGATCAGCAGGAAAGGACGAGGTAATGAGTGCAGGTTTGGACACAACAGTCAGTCCTGGAGTCTGCAGTGTTCTCCCTCTCTCTCTTTCTATCACAACAACATTCAGACTGAGATCTCAGCCTCATCATCCTCCAGAATAGGAGTGTATGTGGATCACAGTGCAGGAACTCTGTCCTTCTACAGCGTCTCTGACACAATGACCCTCCTACACACAGTCCACACCACATTCACTCAGCCTCTCTATGCTGGATTTGATTTTGGAAATTATTGATCAGCTGTGAGGTTATGTGATCCAAAATAATGTGACTAGTTTGCTTCAGTGAGTAATAAATGTATTATTTAAAAGGAGAGAGGTTAAAAGTAGCTGTATTCACAGAATTCCTGTTAAATTAATGAAAAATTGCTTTTGTTTTCTTAAGAAAAACAAAATTAATCCCCCACATATTTGTTCCTGGCGCAGGATCCAACTATACACCTCCATTTGAGATGCCTTTTCCACAATATATAATGTGTATTTGGATGAAGGAAATCGTTTATAACACGAATCTAACAAAATATCTCTTACTAAATGACACAATAAATGATAAAAGGCCACACCCCATCTACCTTATCTACAGTACCTATAGCTGGAAAAAAAGAACTTAAATCAAGCAAAATTTAATCAAAGGTGCAATTATATAAACACATCATCAGAAGAGAATTGAGGTCAATATTTCAAATAAACAGAACTCAAATACAACTTTTACAGGAAAGTTTGGTAGTTAGAATTTCCACATTTTTGTCACTCTTGACAAGAAGTGCAAGAAAGATCATGAAAAAGTTTTCATATAAAATGAGCTCAGTCTCACCCTGAAAATATTAAAATCAATTGATGAAACAATAAACATAAATCCCTTTTTGATGCTTTTTATAATTATTAGCACTTCTAAAAGTTCTTATGAAAAAAATGTAACAGAAAATGTTCCCATTTATATTTCATTTTTTAAGAGGACACAAGAAGTGAAATGAGACAGCAGCATGCTGACCTTCATAAAATCAGACAATGCCTGGATAAATGTGTTAGAAAATGCCCAAAGCCACAGTTTGGGCCATCCTACTCAGTTCAGAGAAACGAAAACTGATCTCTCTGAGTGCTGAGTGCAGGAAAATGGCAGAGGCCAGTATTTCAGTAGATCAGGACCAGTTCAGCTGTCCAGTCTGTCTGGATCTGCTGAAGGATCCAGTGGCTTTTCCCTGTGGACACAGTTTCTGTATGGTGTGTATTAATGGCTGCTGGGATCAGGGTGATCAGAGGGGGGTCTACAGCTGCCCCCAGTGCAGAGAGACCTTCACTCCAAGGCCTGTTCTACGCAGAAACAACATGCTGGCTGAAGTGGTGGAGATACTGAAGAAGACAGAACTCCAAGCTGCTTCTCCTGCTCACTGTTACGCTGGACCTGGAGATGTGGAGTGTGATTTCTGTACTGGGAGAAAACGCAAAGCCATCAAGTCCTGTTTGGTGTGTCTGGCTTCTTATTGTGAAGCTCATCTTAAACCTCACTATCAGTCTCCTGCCTTTAAGAAGCACAAGCTGGTCGAAGCCTCCAAACAGCTACAAGAGAAGATCTGCCCTCAACATGATAAACTGATCGAGATCTACTGTCGTACTGACCACAGCTGCATCTGTTATTTGTGTATGATGGATGAACACATGGGACACAGTGCAGTTGCAGCTGTAGCAGAAAGAAAAGAAAAACAGGTGAGAAGTAAAAACTTTCAGACTCACTTTATTTGTATTTCTTATCTAGAATCTGATACTTAATTAGACAGTGATACTGATGATCAGTTTATGGGATGATGATACTGTAAATGTATGTGATTTTGGTAGGAAAGTGTAAATAAACCTCACATTACTGTTAGCAACAAGTAAAACCAGTCAGCAAACCTTTCACCAGCCAACGTCCGTCTTCCAGCATATTTACAGCTTTATTGTGCTCACATGTAGAACAAGAGTGAACTTGAACTCTTCAGCTGCTGTTAATATAAACCAGAATACAAATTCTTTCTCCTCAGAATCAGCTGAAGGAGATGCAGAGGAAATTCCAGGAGAAAGAGAAGAAGCTGCAGGAGGTGAAACAGGCTGTGGAGACTCTTAAGGTGAGTAGTGAGCAGAGATCTGCTGGAGCAGCTGTTTCACAGCTCAGTCAGACTCTCCTCCAGTCAGACAGTGAGGAGTCCAGTGTTGGACACTTAGAGATCCTACACAGCCACAATGTGGACAGTGAGTCATCTAGAGTCCCAGTGAGAGAGTGAATGATAGCTGGTGTGTAAATGGAGCTCCATCTTGTGTGTGTGTTGTAACAGAGCTCTGCACAGGCAGCAGTGGAGGACAGTGAGAGGATCTTTACTGAGCTGATCCGCTCCATTGAGAAAACGCGCTCTGAGGTAACAGAGCTGATCAGAGCTCAGGAGGAGGCTGAACTGAGTGGAGCTGAAGAACTCCTGGAGCAACTGGAGCAGGAGATTGCTGATCTAAAGAGGAGAGACACTGAGCTGGAGCAGCTTTCACACACAGAGGATCACATACATTTCCTGCAGGTAACTCTGGTACTGCTACTGCTCCTGCCCCGCCTTCATACTGCTCCTCTTCTACCTCAGAAGATTGTGGAGGAGTTGAGGAGATGAACGGAATAGGAGGAACTGGAAGAGCGAGTAGTAACAAGGGGGACAGGACAGCTGATCTACTTCAGCGTCCTCAAATCTAAGTTTATCACAAGGTTCATTTGAAAATACGCCCTCAATACTCCTGCAGTTACTATACAGGGCCAATCTACTTAGGTGTGTGCGCGACCTGTACTTCCATTTTTTAGTTTAGGTCAAGTGCAAAATACACAAAATACTGAGAGCATAAAAAATACAAACAAAACGTAATGAAATGCGTAGCTGAGCTCCTCCGTGTTGTCCGTCCTTTCTGGACATACGTGTGATTTCACTTTAATATCTGAAAAAGGCAGATTCCAGGTGTTTGGAGCTACTCTTGTCTCCTCCAGTAGATGAGGTCACCAAAATTGTTACTGGGCCACAGAGAAGAAGAGGAGGATTGGTACGAAAATAGTACATTGTTAGTATTTCTAGATGCAGCCACTGTCTGATGTACAGAGTGACCTGAAACTCACTGAGGTTCTAAAATGTTTCTTCCCAAAAGTCCATTCAAACAATAAATAAATCTGTCTGAAATCACAAATCTTTTTAATGTGCTTTAAGACCTTTTTTCAGTTGTGAACACATTTATCCTTTTCCATTACATTGTTTTCTCTCTGTAGAGTTTCCAGTCTCTCTGTGTCTCTTCTGGATCTGAGGATTCACCCAGCATCACTGTCCATCCACATCTCTCATTTGATGGAATGAGGAAATCTCTCTCTGATCTGAAAGAGAGACTAGAGGAATTCTGCAAGCAGGAATTCAGTAGAATCTCTACACATGGTAAGAGGATCTTCCTGCTGTGAAACACAATGATGAACATCTTTAGTGATAGATTAGTGAAAATGTTTATATGATGAGCCACAAAAAGCAATAATATTTCCTGAGCTACACAGTAAATAAGTTATGTGAATGTGACAATAAGTTTAAGTTGATATTTTTTTTCCAAGTTACCATAAGTCAGTTGTTTTTAAACAAGACGTCAGGGTTCCTCTAGATGGTCCATTAATAAATTGCCCCCTCTCAGCTCCCAACACACCTGTAGCAGGTATTCAGTGTTATTAATGGCTTTGTACAGGAGTGTTGGGAGCTGGAATAGAGCATGAATGTGGAACATTTGGGGAGCCCTGAGGACTGGATTGTGAACCACTGCCATAAAAGACAGACAGACACTTAGTTTCTCTCTCTACTTAAATTATCTCAGTTTAATCATGTGAACTGTGCTGTGAATCTGTTCTCTGTTTCTTTCTGTCTGGATGAAGTATTTCAGTCTCCTTCATTCAGTTTGATGATCATTGTGTTTGTGTGTCTCCACAGTTGCAGCAGTTCAGATGATTTTACCCTCAGAGCCAAAAACCAGAGAAGATTTTCTACAGTGTATGTACACAATACACACACACACACACACCACACACACACACACACACATACACACACACACACACGTCTGCATTTATATCTTCTCGTCACTTTGAGCATCTTAACGTTCTGAATGTTGTAAGCTTCTGAAACAGAATCAGCTTTAAACAACACGGTGGTGAATCAGTGTTAGAGGTTTAATTATGAATACACTATTTTTCCCTTAAAGCTCATTAGACGCTGTCCTAAATAACACGTATCTTCTTTTGATTTTTATTTTTCTGCACCATTTCAGCACAAGAGCTGTTCTTTACACTGTGTGAAATTTCATGATGAATTTATTAATAGAAATGCTCTATAATTAACTGGAAAAAGTCTCATCACATTCACTTACATTAAACATATTCCTGTAAAGTTACCATTTTGGAGATACTTGTCATTTTTGGACAGCAGCGATATAAACTATGACCTGTAAAAATAGAAGGACGAAAAGGCTGACAAATAGACTTTTTAAAATATGTACAGTGGTGTGAAAAAGTGTTTGCCCCCTTCCTGATTTCTTATTCTTTTGCATGTTTGTCACACTTAAATGTTTCAGATCACCAAACAAATTTAAATATTAGACAAAGATAACACAAGTAAACACAAATGCAGTTATAAATGAAGATCTTTATTATTAAGGGAAAAAGAAATCCAAACCTACAGGGCCCTGTGTGAAAAAGTGATTGCCCACTAAACCTAATAACTGGTTGGGCGTTAAAACATAAATTAACTGTGGTTTATCACGTCTTTGGAAAGCTGAGTTCAATTTCCCTAGCCACACCCAGGCCTGATTACTGCCACACCTGTTCTCAGTCAAGAAATCACTTAAATAGGACCTGCCTGACAAAGTGAAGTAGACCAAAAGATCCTCAAAGGCTAGACATCATGCTGCGATCCAAAGAAATTCAGAAACAAATGAGAAACAAGGTAATTGAGATCTATCAGTCTGGAAAAGGTTATAAAGCCATTTCTAAAGCTTTGGGACTCCAGCGGACCACAGTGAGAGCCATTATCCACAAATGGTGAAAACATGGAACAGTGGTGAACGTTCTCAGGAGTGGCCGGCCGACCAAAATTACCCCAAGAGCGCAGCGACGACTCATCCAAGAGGTCACAAAAGACCCCACAACAACACCCAAAGAACTGCAGGCCTCACTTGCCTCAGTTAAGGTTAGTGTTCAGGACTCCACCATAAGAAAGAGACTGGGCAAAAATGGAGTTCCAATACGAAAACCACTGCTGAGCAAAAAGAACATAAAGGCTCGTCTCAGTTTTGCCAGAAAACATCTTGATGATCCCCAAGACTTTTGGGAGAATACTCTGTGGACTGACGAGACAAAAGTTGAAGTTTTTGGAAGGTGTATGTCCCGTTACATCTGGCGTAGAAGTAACACAGCATTTCAGAAAAGGAACATCATACCAACAGTAAAATATGGTGGTGGTAGTGTGATGGTCTGGGGCTGTTTTGCTGCTTCAGGACCTGGAAGACTTGCTGTGGTAAATGGAACCATGAATTCTGCTGTCTACCAAAAAATCCTGAAGGAGAATGTCCGGCCATCTGTTCGTGACCTCAAGCTGAAGCGCACTTGGGTTCTGCAGCAGGACATTGATCCAAAACACACCAGCAAGTCCACTTCTGAATGGCTTAAGAAAAACAAAATTAAGACTTTGGAGTGGCCTAGTCAAAGTCCTGACCTGAATCCGATTGAGATGCTGTGGCATGACCTTAAAAAGGCGGTTCATGCTCGGAAACCCTCTAATGTGGCTGAATTACAACAATTCTGAAAAGATGAGTTGGCAAAAATTCCTCCACAGCGCTGTAAAAGACTCATTGCCAGTTATGATTGCAGTTGTTGCTGCTAAGGGTGGCCCAACCAGTTATTAGGTTTAGTGGGCAATCACTTTTTCACACAGGGCCCTGTAGGTTTGGATTTCTTTTCCCTTAATAATAAAGATCTTCATTTATAAACTGCATTTTGTGTTTACTTGTGTTATCTTTGTCTAATATTTAAATTTGTTTGGTGATCTGAAACATTTAAGTGTGACAAACATGCAAAAGAATAAGAAATCAGGAAGGGGGCAAACACTTTTTCACACCACTGTATGTTATATGTATGAATAAAAAAAAACTAATGTTTTCTTTTGTTTGTTAGATTTCTGTCATCTGACTCTGGATCCCAACACAGCACAGAGTAGCCTCAGTCTGTCTGAGGAGAACAGAGTGGTTACATGCGGGATAAACCAGTGTTACTCTGATCATCCAGAGAGATTTGACTACTGGTATCAGGTGTTGAGTAAGGAGAGTGTGAGTGGACGCTGTTACTGGGAGGTTGAGTGGAGCAGTAGTAGAAGATGTGTGCTGTACATATCAGTCTCATATAAAGGGATCAGCAGGAAAGGACAGAGTAATGAGTGTAAGTTTGGACACAACAGTCAGTCCTGGAGTCTGCAGTGTTCTCCCTCTCTCTCTTTCTATCACAACAACATTCAGACTAAGATCTCAGCCTCATCACCCTCCAGAATAGGAGTGTATGTGGATCACAGTGCAGGAACTCTGTCCTTCTACAGCGTCTCTGACACAATGACCCTCCTACAAACAGTCCACACCACATTCACTCAGCCTCTCTACGCTGGATTCTGGGTGAATTGGGGAACTGTGAGGTTGTGTGATCCAAAATAATGACTGTAGTTTGTTTCAGTAAATAATTATTAGATCTAAAATTACTGCAATTGTTACATTATAATTGAATGAATTACTTTATAAGAAGGTTAAAAGTTGAAATTATTTTTGTTCAAAGATTCCTCAAACATCCTTCATGCCAGATGCTTTTTTGCAATAAATAAAAACTAAATAGGATGAAAGGATCTAACTTCTATGATGCTCTACACTGACAGGCCAGAACACTTTAGTGTGTCTTTGGTTAAGATTAGGATTAGATTTGTGTCTAAGTTGATGGTTCCAGTTAGACAGTTAGACCCCAAGTCAGATTCAGGATTTGATTCAGTTAATCTACATTAACGTTTAGCTCAGCTCTTGGTTCTTATGTGTTGAGTGGTGGGTTCTCTCACCTGTGGGAAAATAATCTGACCACTGCATATGTCTGTGAGAGAGTGCAGGGTTGTTGGGGGTTTGGGGGGCTCTAGCCTGTCAGTGGCAATTACAAAGAACAGGGACCTAATATTTTATTGTGTGAATTTCATTAATGACTGTAAATAAAAAGTTTTCCTAATCACTAAATACTTATTGTGTTTTTCATTCTAAATGCATCAAGTTCACAGCAAAAAGGGTTAAATACACCTGAATTAAATATTATTATTATTATTAGTTCAGTTTGAGTTTGGACTCTTCAGCAAACTGAACTGGGCTCCACATGGTCATCTAACTCAGTCCACTGAGGGCAGTTCAGGCCTTGTGCTTGAGGCTGATGGTCAACAGCACAAAGATAAAAAAAAGATAAACAACAGAAACGAAAAGAAAGTTTATGGTGTGTTAATGTTAATGTTTTAAGAGCTTAGTGGAGCTAAAATGGTTTTGTTTGGGAACCAACCAAATATGGTTCTTCGAAGAATTCATTGAAATGTTTTAGGGAACCAAAGCTGGTTCTTGTCATTGTTCTAGATAATATCTAAAGGTGATTAGACTCTGCGCTGGACGGTGTTTCTGTCTACGGTCACTCAGAAGCTGCTGAAGCAGGTAGGTTAGCCCAGCTAGCTAACACAGTTTTATTTATGCTCTGAGATTCATAGTTAATGTTGAATAACTACATTAATTACTACTCTGTGATCATTTCAGGTTCTCACTCCATAAAGTCTTTAAATGTTTGGTTGTTTTTTCCTCCATTTCTGTGTTATTTTGGTCTTTAAGTGAATTAAACTAAAGCAGTTTAACGTCTGTTCAGACTGTCTGTGGTGGCTGTAACCACAGATATACATGCTGCACCATTTAAGGTGGAACGAGAAAACTCAGAACAAGAAACTGGCGAATAGGAAACCGACTTAAGCTTCTTCCTTCTTACTGTGTTTTGGGGGTTTATTTTATTTGTATGTGTATTAAGATTAGAAGTGATTCACGCTTTGGTGGATTTGCTGATATGTGTGATTACGTTTCTCGTGCTAAACTCGGTTTTTAACGTCAGGATCAGACTGAATACTTTCTTGCTGGTCCGGACGGCTAATTAGCACGATCAGTTATTAGAGAAATAAAAGCTACAGAGAGCAGATCTGTGCAACCTGGATTAATCTGTGTCTGAGGATTATAACACAACAGATTTGGTTGGGTAATAAGGAAGCTGTGGCCGATTTAATCCTGAGACTCTCCGTCTCTCAGTACAAGTGAATCTGTTCACAAGCGGATCTTGACCGCTCCAACATGGCGGACGCGCAGACGTATCGCCTCAGATAGAGAACAACAGACAACGCGGCATCAAGGAATGTATATCTATGGCTGTAACTGTAAGACTACATGACTGATAATCTGATAGTTTACTTCAACAGAATCTCTCACAGAATCACACAGTTTTGCTCAGATAAAGTGCTGATATTTAAATAAAATAGTTAAAGAATGTCAAAATAATTGATAAATTTAAAAACATTTAAAAGGTTTAAAATGCAGGGCTCAGAATTACAGTGCAGATTTTTCTGTCCTTTTTCTAGAAAAGCCGCAATAATAGATCAGATTATCTGCACAAATACTTTATTACTCCTACAAACTGGAGTCAATTTAATCTACTACTTTAAACGCTTCTACTCCACGTTTTCTGTGAAAATTTAACTGAAGGATTTTGTCTCTCTCTGTCTCTTCTTCAGTCTCCTCCTCATTTCTCTCTCTCCACCCTTCTCTCTATGACACTCCACCAAACACAGAACCAGGAAGCCACTCCTACTCAGTTCAGAGGAAACGAAACTGATCTCAGAGAGCTGCTCTCTCTCAGGCTGTGAGTGCAGGAAAATGGCAGAGGCCAGTATTTCAGTAGATCAGGACCAGTTCAGCTGTCCAGTCTGTCTGGATCTGCTGAAGGATCCAGTGGCTATTCCTTGTGGACACAGTTTCTGTATGGTGTGTATTAATGGCTGCTGGGATCAGGATGATCAGAGGGGGGTCTACAGCTGCCCCCAGTGCAGAGAGACCTTCACTCCAAGGCCTGTTCTACGCAGAAACAACATGCTGGCTGAAGTGGTGGAGAAACTGAAGAAGACAGAACTCCAAGCTGCTTCTCCTGCTCTCTGTTACGCTGGACCTGGAGATGTGGAGTGTGATTTCTGCACTGGGAGAAAACGCAAAGCCATCAAGTCCTGTTTGGCGTGTGTAGCGTCTCTTTGTGAAGCTCATCTTAAACCTCATCTGGAAATTCCAGCCTTGATCAAACACAAGCTGGTTACAGCCTCTTCAAAACTACAAAAGAAGATCTGCTCTCAGCATGATGAGGTGATCAAGGTCTACTGCCGTACTGACCACAGCTGCATCTGCTATTTATGTACGATGGAAGAACATAAAGGCCACGATACAGTCTCAGCTACAACAGAAAGAACCAAGAAACAGGCAAGAACTTCAAAATCACATTTAATTCTTTATTTGTAATCTGACGAATATGGACTTCAGATTATACTTGACCTGATGTAGTCAGACAGGTTTAACTAACCATCACCCATCTTCTAGCTTTCTACAGCTTCATAGCACATGTGACCAAAAGCAGTGGGGTAAAGCAGATTGTTTAAAATAAATAAATAAATAAATCGTCTGGCTGAGAGATGAAATGCAATTAGGCCACTAACTAAAACTGCCCCTTTCATGTCATGCTAATGGCATCTTTATAAACCTATTCAGAGGTGGGTAGTAACTAGTTATATTTACTCAATACATGTACTTCAGTAAAATACTTCTGGATTTTTAATATTCTGAGTATTTTTAAATCATAATATTTTTACTTCTACTAAAAAATTAATGAGTAAAGGGATCTTTTTACTCTGCTACATTTTAGCAAGTCGTATTTAGATACTAATTCCTTTTTTATGTTTAATTTCAATATGTTTTGATGGTGGCGATATTTGTACTGCTTTGTGATTGGTTACACCTCTGACTTTGGAGCTTTTATTTTAGACCAAAAAAAATCCACAAAGAGAAGAACAGAGCTGCACAATCTTCAGTTTCTGTGCTGATAAATGCTGGATGTACTAAGAAGTTCCACTGCAGTACTCAGCACCTAAGCCTTGTGTGGTGTTGGAGTCTGTGGGACTCATTTTCAGTGTTTACCAAAAGAACAAATAGTCGATTTATTATTATTTCAAAGTCAGATTCTTGGCCTTTGCTCATTTTCTGTGAAGAACATATAAAATAACCCATTTTCAGTGTCTTCACACTGTTCACCCCCCACACATTTATGTTACACATGTGGTGTTGGGCTGAATCTGCGGGGAATAAAAGTGTGGAGGTGCTGTGTCCTTCACTCTGTTCTCCTCCTACATGGCCTGCTGTTAGTGTGTGTGTTTGTGTGTGTGTATGTGTTAGTATATGTTTGTGTGTGTGAGGGTGGACAACATGGACAGGCTGCTGACTGGCTACAGCTGCTAAAGGAGAATCTTACGCTGACCACTTGCAATATTTTAAAGATCTGGTATTTTTACATAAATTGTTATGGCTGTATTGATTTAATAAACAATAATGTGGTGGGTCCACATGACCACTGAGTAACAAAAACATCAACACCACACAACGGTTAAACGTGTCCAGCCAGGATTTCTAAATTGCCTAAAATATCCTGGATTTGGCTTTGCTTTAATGTTGACATTTGCTTTCTATAGTCTGCCCTGTGCCGTCCTCCGGCCCCAGTGTCCTGTATTTTGAAAACCAAAACATGATGAACCTGTTATATCTCACACTTCATAAAGAGTTGACTTTGTTTCTCCAGGATGAAGTGAAAGACCTGCAGAGGAAATTCCAGCAGAGACTCCAGGAGAAAGAGAAGACGCTGCAGGAGGTCAAACAGGCTGTGAAGACTCTTAAGGTGAGTAGTGAGCAGAGATCTGCTGGAGCAGCTGTTTCACAGCTCAGTCAGACTCTCCTCCAGTCAGACAGTGAGGAGTCCAGTGTTGGACACTTAGAGATCCTACACAGCCACAATGTGGACAGTGAGTCATCTAGAGTCCCAGTGAGAGAGTGAATGATAGCTGGTGTGTAAATGGAGCTCCATCTTGTGTGTGTGTTGTAACAGAGCTCTGCACAGGCAGCAGTGGAGGACAGTGAGAGGATCTTTACTGAGCTGATCCGCTCCATTGAGAAAAAGCGCTCTGAGGTAACAGAGCTGATCAGAGCTCAGGAGGAGGCTGAACTGAGTGGAGCTGAAGAACTCCTGGAGCAACTGGAGCAGGAGATTGCTGATCTAAAGAGGAGAAACACTGAGCTGGAGCAGCTTTCACACACAGAGGATCACATCCATTTCCTACAGGTAACAGTCACTGTCTGATCTACAGAGGCTTATTATTATTCCTTATTTCTTTACTCTTGTACAAATTTACTCTTTCTTCATCATATTTGTTTCTCTGTAGAGTTTCCAGTCTCTCTGTGTCTCTTCTGGATCTGAGGACTCACCCAGCATCACTGTCCATCAACATCTCTCATTTGATGGAGTGAGGAAATCTCTCTCTGATCTGAAAGAGAGACTAGAGGAATTCTGCAAGCAGGAATTCAGTAAAATCTCTCCACATGGTAAGAGGAGCTTCTGCTGTGAATCAGAATGATGAACATCTTTTCTTCATTAGTGATAGTTTAGCGAAATTCTTTACATGATCAGCAACAAAAAGCGATAATATTTCCTGAGCTACACAGTAAATAAGTTATATACATTTTGAAAATGTGAAAATAAGTTTCTTTATTTTTTTCAGGTTGTCATAAGTCAGTGGTTTTTAAACCAGACGTCAGGGCTCCTCCAGACGTTCCATTAGTAAATTGCTCCCTCTCTGCTCCCAACACACCTGTAGCAGGTATTCAGTGTTATTAATGGCTTTGAACAGGAGTGATGGGGGCTGGAATAAAGCATGAATGTGGAACGTCTGGGGAGCCCTGAGGACTGGATTGAGAACCACAGCCATAAAAGACAGACAGACACTTAGTTTCTCTCTCTACTCAAATTTTCTCACTTTAATTATGTGAACTGTGCTGTGAATCTTTTCTCTGCTTTTTTATTTCTGGATGAAGTATTTCAGTCTCCTTCATTCAGTCTGATGATCACTGTGTTTGTGTGTCACCACAGTTGCAGCAGTTCAGATGATTTTACCATCAGAGCCAAAAACCAGAGCAGATTTTCTACAGTGTATGTACACAAACACACACACACACACACACACATATATACACACACACACACATATATACACACACACAAACACACACATAATGACTTTTATTATTTCTGTCTTCTAAAAATATTGATAATTAGGAAGAGTTTGAAATAAAAAAACAGAAATGTGAAAGGAAGGAAACAAACAAATTCTGCAAATAAAACCAATAAATGTTTCTTTTCCTCTTTGTTAGATTTCTGTGGTCTGACTCTGGATCCCTACACAGTGAATCATTACCTCAGTCTGTCTGAGAAGAACAGAGTGGTGACGTATGGAGGGAAAAACCAGTGTTACTCTAATTATATAGAGAGATTTGACTACTGGTATCAGGTGTTGAGTAAAGAGAGTGTGAGTGGACGCTGTTACTGGGAGGTTGAGTGGAGCAATATTTGGGGAGATGAGGTGTCCATATCAGTCTCATATAAAGGGATCAGCAGGAAAGGATGGGGTAATGAGTGTAAGTTTGGACACAACAGTCAGTCCTGGAGTCTGCAGTGTTCTCCCTCTCTCTCTTTCTATCACAACAACATTCAGACTAAGATCTCAGCCTCATCCTCCTCCAGAATAGGAGTGTATGTGGATCACAGTGCAGGAACTCTGTCCTTCTACAGCGTCACAGACACAATGACCCTCCTACACACAGTCCACACCTCATTCACTCAGCCTCTCTATGCTGGATTCAGGGTGACCTCAGGAACTGTGAAGTTGTGTGATCCATAATGATGCACACAATATTCGTTTTAGATACTTTAAAGGAAGCTTTAAAAAGTATTTCCACTGTTGTTTGTGTAGATTATCTACCACAGTTACAGATTATTCCCATTAGAACTTCCATTACTGCACATGCATCTTTTCTCTTCTTCACATTTTAAGAATAAACTGTATAAACAGACTCTCTGTAATAAAGGTGAGATGATGAGTGTGAAAAAGACTAAATATCATGTTTTCATGTTTATATTGTTAAAGAATCACTGCAGGTTTTTCCTTTTCCATTTTCTCCTTTTTTATGATGAGTATCAGATTTGAGACGGTTCTCTAATCTGTAGTTCTGATTAATTAGATGATTCCAGCTGCACTGAATGAGATCAGAACATAACAGACGTGTGAATGTGAACTGTTGATAGTAGCTTTTATGCTTCTGTGTCTTTTAGAGTCAGTGGGCATGAACAGACCCTCAGTACCTCAATGACTATATTAAAAAAAGATGAGCACAAGTTTCAAATTATAAATAAATAAATAAATAAACAAAAAGACAGTTATGTAAAAGTCATGTTTACTGCAATAATAATCATAACGATAATAATAATAACAGTATTTTATTCTCACACATTAAAACAATGATTTTGACTGTGTTAGTAATAAAAATTATACTGTTTGTTAGTAAACTGAATTAATGTTTTTCAACATATTAATTGTAACTATCACAACACACTCCTTCTGATACAACAACAGTAACAATATTTGCATTAAACTACCTGCATTTTATGATTATTTGATGCTTCCTAGTTTTCTTATGAGGCATTTTCCAATCCCTGAAAGGCTGTGAAGAGTTGATTTCTGTTTAAATAAGCCTATTTTGGTTTTTGGCCTTTAAAAAACACAGATTCTTGATTAAGAGTTAAATAACAGGTATTTTACTCAGTTAATCATGTATTTTAGTGACAGCCCTGCTGACCATCAGCTCCTTACATCATATCTTACATGAACTCGTAGGTGTCGATCTCTACAGACAGTAAACATTACACTCACAGCCAGGGATGGATTACTGACCAGGCCAGTGGGGTCAGTGCCCAGGGACATCTGATTGCCAGGGGCTTCAGTGTACCTCAGACCACCAGCTCAAAGACTAGAGACAGTCCTTTACAGATGCTAAAATTAGAATATTCCTTATATGTAATGACTTTTAAAATGTCCACACCCTGATACTGTATTTAAAGTAGTTAAAATCTCCCAAACACCAAAAAATGTGCAGGAAACAACAGGCTGATCCACATTAATAGAGAATTCATCATTTTAGTTTCATTACATTTTTCCAGCTCTGTTCAAAGCACACATAACCACACCTGAGTGGTTTATTAAAGAGCCCATATGTAACATTTTTTCTGTATTGTATATTTTTATAAGGTCCACTTATGACATTTTTGTGCTTTTCCTGTACAAAAACAGTCATAATTCATTTTTACATGACTGTATCCCTTAGAATTAAACAGGCTGTTTTTGTTGCTCTAAATCAAATTGTCCATGATATGAGGCTTTAAAGTTGAACTGCGGGTCTGTTTTCTTCTGTCTTTTTTGCGTTATGGTCAGAGTTTGGGAGTAAGGGGGACCTCCAAAGAGACTTGTGTCCAGGGGTCTCGTGAGACCATGATCTGTCTCTGCTCACAGCCTTCACACTGTATAAACTCACTGATTCCCGTATAGAACATTTCTACCATTCAGATCATTAGAAACAACAGCAGCTTATCCAGCTTTGATTTTCTTTACTGTGATATTTTCCTCTGATAATCAGACTAATTACTTCACACACAATCAGAAATGTGATTTTACTGTATTTGACAGTCAAACAGCCTCTCACACAGTTAAAGACTCACACAAAGACAGAGAGAGAGAGAGAGAGAGAGAGAGAGAGAGAGAGCGCAGAGTCAGGCTGTGTTCTGTAATGAAGTGACAAAATAAAAGTCTCTGATGATGTAATACTGCCTGTCAGGTGAGACTGAGGGGCAAATGTGTCTTTGCTGATACATGTTTATGTTGTTTTCACTCCAGACGTGGTAACTTTACAGTTACAGTCAGACTGAACGCTGATCTGAACATTACAGCTCATCACTGTTTAAACTCTGTTGGAGTGACGCTCTGGTTTCTCTGACGGCTCTTTATTCATCTGAGCTGATCTCTGTTTCGTCTGTGTGATAAAATACCTTCATACTCCACCAGCGCTCTGGTCAGATCACTGTTTAGGACAGTAAGACTAAAAAATAAACAACCGAAAGTGTAAAACAAATCTGAGTGTGACAGAATCACTGATTAGAGTTATGATGAGCCTGTATTACATTAGACTTCCTCTCTCACAGCCTCATACGGCTGTTTACCTCCAAACCTGAGACTAAACTGTGTTTTATACAGTAAACTGTAGACTATGGAGTGATGCCTGTTAACTAAAGCAGCAGCTGATAGACTCTCACAACTGATTATACGATTAATAAAGAGCTGAAATTTTATTCTAAAACAACAAAGTAAGAGGAAAACAGTGACCACAGTAGCTGTTTAGCTGAGATTAGCTGGCCAGTCAGCTGCTCCCTCAGGCTGAGTCTGAGCTGTGAAAGGTGGAGATGTGGGCAGGTTTATGGAGGCATATTTGGAGCTGATAATAACGTTTCTTCTCTTTAATTCATTTGAAAATGAAGATGAGCGTTTGATAAAGTCTGTTCCTCGTGTTTTCTGGTGATGTTCTCCTCTTTCTTTCTCCTCTAAACTGGACGTCTCTGAACTCGTCAGGGCTGAAGAGTTTTTGTGGCTGTGTGATGCTCTGTTCTGATTGGCTTTCAGAGCTGAATATTTTACATTTAACTGGGTTTTATTCTAATTGGTTTATGAGCTGAGATGCATTTACTGTGCATCACTGAGTGGTGCTTCTCCCTCACTGTCTGTTCAATAAAAGAGCATTCGCCTTTAAAGCAGTGTTTCCTGTATCTTATTCTACACTGACGCCTCAATATGGAAATGAGGGTCAGTTGGATTTGACCATTTGCAAATGAAATAATAATGAAGCACTTGTGTTCAGGTGTGTTTTACCACACCCAGAATCTCTTTTTTGAGTTGATGTAATAACAGAGAATTTCTAGTTCTGACAAGTAGACTTTTTTAAACTATGTAAATTCTATGAATAAAAATGGTTTTCTTTTGTTTGTTAGATTTCTGTCATCTGACTCTGGATCCCAATACAATGAAGTATTACCTCAGTCTGTCTGAGGAGAACAGAGTGGTGACGTGCAGGAATAAAGTCCAGCGTTACTCTGATCATCCAGAGAGATTTGACTGCTGGTGTCAGGTGTTGAGTAAGGAGAGTGTGAGTGGACGCTGTTACTGGGAGGTTGAGTGGAGCAGTAGTGGGGGTTGGGTGGACTTATCAGTCTCATATAAAGGGATCATCAGGAAAGGAGGCAGTAATGAATGTAAGTTTGGACACAACAGTCAGTCCTGGAGTCTGCAGTGTTCTCCCTCTGTCTCTTTCTATCACAACAACATTCAGACTGAGATCTCAGCCTCATCATCCTCCAGAATAGGAGTGTATGTGGATCACAGTGCAGGAACTCTGTCCTTCTACAGCGTCTCTGACACAATGACCCTCCTAGTCCACACCACATTCACTCAGCCTCTCTATGCTGGATTCTGGGTTTCTAGATTTTAGATTAGCTGTGAGATTATGTGATCCAAAATAATGCTTCAATAAGTAATAAATTACTTATTTAAAAAGATAAAGATTCAAATTTGACTTCTCATTTATGTACAGCTGCTTTTAGTTTCCTTTAAAAAGATAAAATTATCACCCACATCTATTGATCCTGGTCTTGGATGGTATACATCCTTCATGTAAGATACATTTTTCACAATAAATAAATAAAAAAATAAAAAAAGAAAAAAAAACACAATATGATAAATTAAAGAATTTAATTACAGAAATAAAGCATTTATTTAAAGAAATCTAACAAAATATTTCTATTTCTATATAAAATGACAATACAATGATGAAACAAATAAACAAACAATATGGTAACCTACAACTGGGGAACAAAATAAATCAAGCAACATTTAATCATCTTGCAGTTATTTGAATACATCATCAGATGAGAACTAAGGTCAATAAGGTTAATAATATAGAAATCTCTGACTAGTCTGGGTAGATGTAGGTGGTGCAAACCTTTTTTTTTTTAGGGGCAGGATTGTGTTTGTTTACATGAGGGAGTTACTGTATCCATATTGTTGTCACATTTGGCAAAGATGGGCAAAAAAAGACCAAAATTGTTCATGTAAAAATAAAAAAATGTGAAAGTCTTATTTTTAATTTCTTAATGTTAGAAGACAAAATCCCTTATGATGTTTTTTACAGCTATTGGCACTCCTCGAAATTCCTATGAACAAAATATAACTGAAGCGCGTTCCCATTCATATTTCATATTTCAAGTCTACCTGAGGATTCAGGTAAGCCGTCATACATTACTTCCTGTTTCACTGGGGTATAAATATAAGGTGACACAGAGGCCAAATTTCCTTAGTCGTGGAGAAAATGTGATGGTTAGAGGGGTAAATTTTTTCAGAGTTAGAGATTTACAGACGATAGTAGCATTTTAATGTTCCCAAGTGTCTAAAACTACAATTAGACGCCGCCAAACATCAATCAAACTATTTGGATGGTGTTGCAGAAGAAAGCTTTTTGAAAAGCTGTGTGGTGGAGCTGAAGAGTCCAACAAAGAAGACCGAGGACCCTGGAGGATCTGGAGAGAGTGTAAATTGAGGAGTGGTCTCAGATTGGGGCATCACAGGAACAGACTCACTGCTGCGTGCTGGCATAAAAATAAGAAATGAAAAAAAAAAAATTCTCAATGTCTTTAATAAATTTACTTCAGTTAAATGCAAGAATTCTCATATATCATATGCAAGATTTACCTAATTAACCAAAAAGACATTTTTTTCATAAACTTGTTGCCCATGTTTACTAGTTGTGCTAATAATTGTGGAGTGGAGAGTTATATTTTTGGGGGGGGTATTTTTTCTCTTTTTTTTTTCTAGGTTATTTTGAGTTTCTGCTGAGCCTTTTTTTGGTGTGTGTGTTTGCCGTTGGGCGCTCCTTATGAGCAAGAAATACTCTGGATCTGACCACTGTATGTGTTTGTGAATTCCACTATTGTCTAAAAAATAAGTTTTTCACAAACAATAAACATTTGTCTTTTAAGATTGGTTAAAAAGATGTAAAAAGATCTTTTTTTTAGTTGGAAGAACATATTGTGGCAGTTGCCACTTGCTTCGGTTAACACAAGGGGCTGTAGAGGTGTGGTATGCAAAACTATGCCACGTGATACATTAGATCCTAAATTAACTAAACTGAATGAACTTAACAGGAAAATACCTACATGACAGATAACCTCTGTACTGCTTCAGTATCTCTCACAAAATCCTACACAGGTCTGCTCAAATGAAAGTAGTGGTATTAAAGAATTTACTCAAAGGAGAAAGTGAAGAGGAAAAGAAAGAAAAATGAAAACATCAGGCTAAAAAAAAGGTGGATATTTGCAGTACAAGTTTCTTTTTTGGGGAAAGGCATCTGTTATGATATGTGGATCAGAGGATTCACAGAGATCAGGTTACTCCATTTAATCTGTGACTTTAAATGGTTCTGCTTTACGTTTTCTTTTTCAATTCAGTAAAGGAATTTTATGTCTTACTCTCGGTCCTTCAGTCTCCTCCTCCTCTTCTCTCTCTCTCTCTCTCTCTCCACCTCCTTCTCCCTTCCAAACAGAACCAGGAGGTCACTCCTACTCAGTTCAGAGAAAACGAAACTGATCTCAGAGAGCTGCTCTCTCTCAGTCTGTGAGTGCAGGAAAATGGCAGAGGCCAGTATTTTAATAGTTCAGGACCAGTTCAGCTGTCCAATCTGTCTGGATCTGCTGAAGGATCCAGTGACGACTCCCTGTGGACACAGTTACTGTATGGTGTGTATTAATGGCTGCTGGAATGAAGATGATCAGTGGGGGGTCTACAGCTGCCCCCAGTGCAGAGAGACTTTCACTCCAAGGCCTGTTCTACGCAGAAACAACATGCTGGCTGAAGTGGTGGAGGAAGCAAAGAAAGAAACTCCAAACTGCTTCTCACTGTTACGCTGGACCTGGAGATGTGGAGTGTGATTTCTGCACTGGGAGAAAACGCAAAGCCATCAAGTCCTGTTTGGTGTGTCTGGCTTCTTATTGTGAAACTCATCTCAAACCTCACTATCAGTCTCCTGCCTTTAAGAAGCACAAACTGGTCGAAGCCTCCAAACAGCTACAAGAGAAGATCTGCCCTCAACATGATGAAGTGATGAAGATCTACTGTCGTACTGACCAAACATGCATCTGCTATTTGTGTACAATGCACGAACACAAAGACCACGATACAGTTGCAGCTGTAGCAGAACGATCTGAGAAACAGGTGAGAAGTAGAAATTTTTTAGAATAAATTCATGTGTTTATATTTTTAAACTAGAATCTGTTACATATTTAATTACAGAATTAGACAGTGGATCCGTTTATGGGATAATGATATTAAGTGTGTGGTGTTGTTTAGGGAAGAGTTAATTAAACCTAACGTTTCTAACTGTTCTTGCCACACAAGTCAAACCAGTTAGTACACCTTTGAGCAGCCAACGCCCATCTATCAGCATATTTACAGCTTTACTGTGCTCACATGTAGAACAAGAGTGAACTGCTGCTGTTAATATGAACCAGAAAACAAATTTTCTCCTCAGAATCAGCTGAAGGAGATGCAGAGGAAATCTCAGCAGAGACTCCAGGAGAAAGAGATAAAGCTGCAGGAGGTGAAACAGGCTGTGAAGACTCTTAAGGTGAGTAGTGAGCAGAGATCTGCTGGAGCAGCTGTTTCACAGCTCAGTCAGACTCTCCTCCAGTCAGACAGTGAGGAGTCCAGTGTTGGCACTTAGAGATCCTACACAGCCACAGTGTGGACAGTGAGTCATCTAGAGTCCCAGTGAGAGAGTGAATGATAGCTGGTGTGTAAATGGAGCTCCATCTTGTGTGTGTGTTGTAACAGAGCTCTGCACAGGCAGCAGTGGAGGACAGTGAGAGGATCTTTACTGAGCTGATCCGCTCCATTGAGAAAAAGCGCTCTGAGGCAACAGAGCTGATCAGAGCTCAGGAGGAGGCTGAACTGAGTGGAGCTGAGGAACTCCTGGAGCAACTGGAGCAGGAGATTGCTGATCTAAAGAGGAGAGACACTGAGCTGGAGCAGCTTTCACACACAGAGGATCACATCCATTTCCTACAGGTTAAAATCACTGATGTGCAGAGGCTCATTATTCTTCCAAGATATATATATATATATATATAGATATATATATATAGTATATATATATATATATATATATATATATAAAAATAAAAGAGTACATCTTTCTTTACTCTTGTACACATTTATCTTTTCATCATATTTTTCTCTCTGTAGAGTTTCCAGTCTCTGAGTGTCTCTTCTGGATCTGAGGACTCACCCAGCATCACTGTCCATCAACATCTCTCATTTGATGGAGTGAGGAAATCTCTCTCTGATCTGAAAGAGAGACTAGAGGAATTCTGTAAGCAGGAATTCAGTAGAATCTCTACACATGGTAAGAGGAGCTTCGGCTGTGAGACAGAATGATAGAAATATTTACTTCATTAGTCTAGACGGTCCAAATTTTTGCTCCCTCTCAGCTCCCAACACACCTGTAGCAGGTATTCAGTGTTATTAATGGCTTTGAACAGGAGTTTTGGGAGCTGGAACAGAGCATGAATGTGGACGATCTGGGGAGCTTAGTTTCTCTCCTTTTTCTATCTGGATGAAGTATTTCAGTCTCCTTCATTCAGCCTGTTGATCATTGTGTTTGTTTGTGTCTACAGAGCCAAAAACCAGAGAAGATTTTCTACAGTGTATGTACACAAACACTCACACACTCACGCACACTCACACACTCACACTCACACTCACACACACACACACAATTTCAGCTTTTAAAATCATCTCCTCTCTTTAAACATCTTAATGTTTTGAATGCTGTTAACGTTACCGGCCCCAGGCCTAGGGGAAACCCGGGGCACGGTACAAAGCCTGCTTCCCTTAATAAAAGAGAAAACGGACACAAACGTTTTGGTGTGTAATCCTCTGGCGTTCCAAATTTATTCACACAAAAATACTAAGGAAATAATAGCCATTTAATACTTGAATATCAATTTATTTAAGTTCTATAGAATAAATACTAAAAAAAATAGAAATTAGAAAAAGAAATAAAGGCCACAAATTCACAAAATAACCCAATTATTCACTAATGAAATAGTAAACAAACAAAACAAAACAAACAAACAAAAGTTCTCAAAGAAATAAGCCTAAAGACAAAAATCTATTTGAAATACCCAACTCATGAAGACATAGTAAGAAAAGAAAAGAAAAATTTTATTAATAAACCAACCTTGCTTAACTCAAGCTTATACGTAGATATAAGAAAGGAAAATAAAGAAAAGAAGAAAAGAAAACCAAAGCAATAAACAGACACCAATGTGATAAAAACCCTAAAACAATGTAAACCATAATAAACTTTCACTGCTTCAGTGTAAAAGGGAACACTAAAACCAGTTTAAAGTGCAAATGCAATGAAAGTGCTTCTCAACTCCACTCATAAGCATTAACACGACAGTAATTCAATCCGAAGCAAGTATTCACTTACAGCCGCGCCTGAGCACAACACGAACACAACAGCACAGCCGTCCTTCACAGAGAACCCCTGTAAAGCACTATAGCAGCTTAGTTAGGCTGATGCTAAAGTTAATGTTGGCAGCGTGGCACTGTCACAGCTCTGTGAGCTTACACGATGGCTTAAAATTGTATAAAACACAAGGCACATAAAACTACATTCTCAGACCAGTAAAACAAGGCAGTAACAGATAAAACGTTTCCATACCTTAATAAAAGAGAGAACGGACACACACGTTTCGGTGTGCAATCCTCTGGCGTTCAAAGTGTTACAACTTCGGCGCCATTTTTATGCACACCAGCCGTCCTCTTAGTATGGAGCACCCCATGCTGGTCTAGTGCCGTTAACCAAGTTAGTACCCTTTCACTCAAGCTGATCTGGGTGTTGATGCATCTTTATTAAGATTTCCAACCCCTTACATTAGCTTCTGAAACAGAATCAGCTTTAATCAACATGGTGGTTTATCAGTGTTAGAGGTTTAAATATGGTCACACTATTTTTCTCTTAAAGCTCGTTAGACGCTGTCCTAAATAACACGTATCTCTGCTTCTTTTGATTTTTATTTTTCTGCTCCATGTCAGCACAAGAGCTGTTCTTCACACTGTGTGAAAATCTAATGATGAACGGAACCAACAGAAATGGTCTGTAATCATTTGGAAAAAATCTCATTACATTCACTTACATTTAATATATTCCTGTAAAGTTACCATTTTGGAGATACTTGTCATTTTTGGACAGCAGCGATATGAACTATGACCTGCAAGAATAAAAGGATAAAAACTCTGACAAGTAGACTTTTTAAAATATGTATATTCTATGAATAAATGTTTTCTTTTCCTTTCTTTTCTTTGTTAGATTTCTGTCGTCTGACTCTGGATCCCAACACAGTAAATAATTACCTCAGTCTGTCTGAGGAGAACAGAGTGGTGACATGCAGTGGGATAGACCAGTGTTACTCTGATCATCCAGAGAGGTTTGACATCTGGTGTCAGGTGTTGAGTAAGGAGAGTGTGAGTGGACGCTGTTACTGGGAGGTTGAGTGGAGCAGGATTTGGGGGCTGTATATATCAGTCTCATATAAAGGGATCAGCAGGACAGGATGGGATGATGAGATCTGGTTTGGACACAACAGTCAGTCCTGGAGTCTGCAGTGTTCTCCCTCTCTCTCTTTCTATCACAACAACATTCAGACTGAGATCTCAGCCTCATCCTCCTCCAGAATAGGAGTGTATGTGGATCACAGTGCAGGAACTCTGTCCTTCTACAGCGTCTCTGACACAATGACCCTCCTACACACAGTCCACACCACATTCACTCAGCCTCTCTATGCTGGATTCTGGGTTGATGGGAATGCAACTGTGAAGTTATGTGATCCAAAATAATGGTGCACTGTGGTTAGTAACAGGTGGATTAAAATAATTTACTTATTATTACGTACTTGAATCACTGTATTTATTTAGTTTGTTTAATTGTAGAAAGAGCTTTTTAGATAATGTTAAACTGAAACGGTTTTCCGTTGTTCAGTCTTGTCTTTCTTTCACTCACTTATAAACATAGTCAATATAGCTGTCTTGTTTAACCCTTCATGTATGAAGGGAATCTCTCCATCTCTATCTCTCTCTCTCTTTCTCCCTCTTTCTCTCTCTCTCTTTCTCTCTCTCTTTCTCTCTCTGGTAATATTAACCTAGTATGCTCAAATACTATTCATCTTATTTACAGTATCTTCCCAACATAGTACGAATGACATTCTTCCAACGCGGAAGCGGTTTAGTTTAAAAAGCATATTACCACAATCAGAAAGGCAAAATGTGTGAAAATGGGCATGCAACCTATTTTGGACCAGGAAAATGTATAAGCACAGTGCAGGTGGGGAGAAGGTTTCTCCTACTTTCTCAGCTTGTTTTTTGCTTTACTGCTTTCTTTCACTATTCCCTGTCTATATGGGGGTTTTAAGGGTGGGCTCCTTAAATGTTAACGGGTTCAGGGACAGATGTAAACGGGCCCTCTTTTCTGAACTCTTTGGTCTAAAAAAGTTAAATGATGATAATACAGCATCTGAATGGGGTTTATGGTGGAAGGGGGAGTTTTTCCTGAGTCACGGTTCAAATGTTAGTGCCGTTGTTGTTATCTTTTTCTCTCGATCATCTATAGAGACTGTAGTGTCTGTTAACGAGGTTGTAGCGGGATGCTTACTTATGTTAAAAGCAAAGTTCTACGGTCATGTCTTTGTTTTTTATAAATGTGTATGCCCCAAACAGAGGGCCAGATCAGGGGTTTGAGAGCCTTATGCAATGGTGAGAAGTGGGGAAGGCTCAGATTAGGGTATTCTGTCAAGATTTTACATCTTATTCTACTTCCAAACTGAGAAATGCAGTTGGTGTTCTGGAACGAGACATTACAAGGATACACAACGCAATGATAAATCAAAAGGTTTCTGATTTGTGGACAGAGCTTACAGTGAAGTTACAGGAGCTGAGTGACGTTTTGTATGAGAAGGCAAAGGGAGCTTTGGTTAGGTCCAGGTTCCTGTCTGTGAAGAATATGGATGCTCCCACTACTTTCTTTTTTCTGCCACCAAACATAAGACATTGTTGTCAGTTCGTAAAGATGATGGTACAGTCACAACAGACCCAGTTGAGGTGAGGAGGCTGGCTGTAGGGTTTTACTCTGAACTGCTTGCGGCCAGTACTCTGGATCAGCAATATTCTCAGGTCCTGCTTGAAGATCTGCCTCAGCTAGATGAACAACACAAACAGGAAATGGACAGTCCGTTCACTTTTGATGAAGTCACCAAAGCTGTATCTCAGCTCACTTCCAGGCGAGCACCTGGTATAGATGGTATAGATCGATTTATGATAATTTGTTTTTAATCAGAGATTTATTTGATTATGGTAAAATGTCTGAATTGAAGTTTTTGGTTTGGATCCCTTGAACAAGAAAAAGCTTTTGATCATGTAGATCTTAACTATCTGTTCGATACTCTGAAAGCTTTGGGGTTTGGGAATGTTTTTATGTCTTGGGTCAGGTTGTTGTACACAGGTGCCTCTTGTCTAATTAAGGTGAGAGGGGGTTTGAGTGTGCAGAACGGGACAGGGACTAATGGGCATTTGTTCCAGAGTGGCTGTTCTACGTTTGCAGGAGGTGCAGCGGTTGCTGTATCATGGCCATCACAGCTGTATGGATGTTGTCTGCACTCTCCTGAGGGCTGCTGGTAGATGGACAGACACCTGTTCGCTCTTTCTTTGAGAGCAGTGGATCTAGGTGGACTGACTCCTTTTTGTTCAGCTGCTGTGGAGGCATGACAGCTTCTCTCGTTTTGTAGGGAAAGCGGTGCTGCACCGTCTGTGTGGATTTTTGAAGAGCCACTGTTTTTTAACCCGGCGTTTCCATCGCTGAGCCAGGTTTCAGGAGTTCTGAGAGTGGGCCTACTGGAAAATGGCATCTTCAAAGTCCACCACTTACGAAGAGGTGTGGACTGGGTGTCAGCGGAACAGCTGGTAGAGATAGGTGGCTTCAGGCCAGTGCGACTGGCGCTACGGATGCTGATTTGTCTGAAGTCTGACCTGTCTTCTTCTGTGTGTGATTACCTGGACATGACCCCTGTAGACCAGTGCCAGAGTGAAGACTGTTTTTCCTGAACTGGTGGCAGATTTGAGCAATCCAGAGATGCAAAACTGGCAGGAGGGTCAAAGGATGCTCTTGTCTATGGGAACCCTGACTCTTGGTCTCTTTAGTATTCTCACTAAGAGGACTTTGTACCTTGCATGTATCAAAGCACTGAACTTTCACAGCTTGAGAAACATACAAGAGTCTAAATGGACAGAGGTTGTTCAGGCAGCCTCTTCCCCGAAAGGTAGCTGGCGGTCCCTGTACAAAAGACCCATCGAGAAGAGGGTGGGAGACCTCCAGTGGAGGATTGTACATGGGATTTTAGCCACGAACAGACATGCGGCGCAGATTGATCCGTTAGTGGGAGATGGTTGTCCTTCTGTGGGATGTCAGACATTTTTTCTTCAGTGTGACCGCTTGGGTCCAATAATGGGTTTAATTAAGGACTGGGGCTTGAAGTGTTTAGGCTCTTTTGATCAGAGTTTATTTATTTATGGTCCAACGTACACAGTTTCAAAAAGTAACGAGGTGGTACTTTTAAATTTTCTGTACGGTGCTGCTAAATTAGCTATCTGGTGTACTAGGAGGAACAGAACAAAGAGCTGTGGGGGTACTGACCCAGTTCTGATGGTCAGGGGACTGGTCATGAAACGGTCTCCTCATTGAATTTACCTATTACACCCTTTGCTTTGTGGACCCGATGAACTTTTGGGTTTGTGTTAAATGTTTGAATTGACCTCTAAGTAACTTGGCTCAGCTGTTTTTTGTTTTATTTGCCTTTTGTTTCTTTGTTTTTGATTTTATTCTGAGCTGGTTGTGACCGCTCTTATTATGTGGACAATGGTTGATTAAAGGGGTTTAAAAGTCAAAGTCTCTCTCTCTCTCTCTTTCTTTCTCTCTCTTTCTCTTTTCTCTTTCTCTCTCTCTCTCTTTCTTTCTCTCTCTCTCTTTCTCTCTCTTTCTTTCTCTCTCTCTCTCTCTCTCTCTCTCAGGTAATATTAACGTAGTATGCTCAAATACTATTAATCTTATTTACAGTATCTTCTGTGTAGCCTCATCATATTATGACTTTTACTCTGGGATGCTTTGGGGTGAGAGTCTTTTTGCTTTTTAAGCATGTTTGTTTATGTGAGGGAGTTGGTATAAATCTGTGGTTTTTGTATGTTTTGTTTCTTTTGCACATTTGGAGGCCAGGATGGCTGGTTTGACTTTCATTTATTAGTAAATATATTTCATGATTTTCTTTAATCAATTAAAGCACAACTCTTTTTTTATAATAACTCTCAATTTTTTTTAACACTGGTAAATGTAGAATTTTGGAACAATGGTTTAACGAGCGGAGAAATTAATTTTCCAGAAATTGGATGTAGAGAAAGACTGAGATACAATTTAAATAATCTACACTAGATAATCTACATATTTTTTGTTGTAAAAGATTGATTTTGCTAAGGCTGGTAAGTTGGTGATATTAATTCAACATAATCAGATCTTGTTTGGAGAAAATGATGCTAAGTTCATCGCAATAAAACTGACTAGTGACAAAACACTGTATCAAGCCATCTCAGTGTGATGTTTATCCACTACGTGATTGAGGGAGAGGGGACAGACTCCTTTGGTGGATTAGTGTGACAGAAGTTAGCAACAGGTATTAACTTTGATTACAGCCGATTTAATTGTTTCAAGTTGTAATGTAATGCAATGTAGTGGAAAAAAATAAAATATAAAATGAGCCATAACTTCACATTTTATGTGTTTTGTTTTTTTTGCCCAATATGTCAAGTTCTACAAATGAACAGAAGTGTGTTACCTGTAGAGGAAGTGTTATTATTTTCACTTAGAAAATCAAAAAACAAGCCATTTGACCAGGGGCGCTCACACTTTTGTACACAACAATATGTACTCGGAATTTGTGGGTATATATTTTATGAACAGCACTTACAGAGCTCTCATATGTCACTATACAGCTGCATTCTTAGATTCTTAGATGCATCGCGATGCGGACGTAAACAATTCCGAATCGATTCACAAATGTCAAAAAACGATTTTCTAAATATTTAATTTATACGGTAATGTTGACAGAATGCAAAAGGTGGAACTTGAAAGTGCGGAAGTGCAGCGCCCAGACAGTCTGTGACGGCACATAACAAAAACACAACTGGATCAGCGAAAAATCCGACCGGCGTCTCTGCATTAAAAGCCAGGTTGGGTCAGGAGTCACAGCCCAAATGATAAGAAAAGCCATTTTTTCTTCCATCCTGTTCCATCTTAAATTCTGCCTGAGGCGCCAGAATGTAAATGCGGCACCATTTAAGGTGGAACAAAAAATTCGAACAAGAAACTGACTTCATCTTCACAACTTTTTAGTGTTTGACAGTCTCTCATTGCAGATTTAACGTGCCAGGAAACCAACTGCGCTGTTTATAAATGCGATTGAGTCTATTCATCTCCAAATGTTCATCTTAAGTCTCTCTCTTTGCCTTGTCGTTAGCTACAAGCTCAGCGAGACTGCGTTGCTATGTGCACGCCATTTCTCAGTCGTTGAGAACCAGGGCTTTTGCGCTGTGTTGCACACTTTGGAACTGAGATACAGCGACCTAACTCGAAGATATTTTATTGACACAGCGACCCAATTACCCCCCCACAACGAGACCAAAACCGAAGTCACAAAATCAAAAAAAAAAAAAGTGATGTGCTGCATGGACATCTGTTGCCACAGGATCTTATGTCAAAGTAACAGCACATTTAATCACAGATGAGTGGCAGCAGCGTCTCATGTGCCCCAATAAGAGCAGTGAATGAGAGCCTTCTAGTTCACTTGCCACATCACTCCCATTTGATTTATTAATAAAAGATATTGGAAGTAAATTCATTATGGATCATTACAAATACTTTGCTTTAAAAGTACAAAGTCCTTCTTACACAGTAAGAAATTAGAAATCATGTATAGAAAAAAAAAAGATGCATCAATAATTGTTTCATAATCGCATCGCAGCCTCTGAATCGTAATCGAATCGAATCGTGAGGTGCCTGTAGATTCCCACCCCTAATTACAGTATAGCTGCAGTACAAAAGATGTCCAAACAAAATAGATTCATTCAACGGTAAAGGGGAATTCCATCAATTTTTCAAAATTTCTGCATAATTACAGGGTTAAAATGTAAACCAAGTCATTCAGAGTGATTTGTTGTGCTGCTTTTTAGAGAAACTGAGTCAGAATTGTTCACAGTGGTGGTGATAGGAACCAGATGTCTGAAGAGCTTAAATGATTCTAAAAGCCCCTTCACTTAAAGTTATTACATGCTTGATGTCTGAGACACAGTTTTATGGTACTTTAGAGAAGGGGTCAAAACTATGAAGGGGGTGGAGGGATACAGGCAGGATGTTGTAAGGCAAAATAGTCCCAAAAGAAAATGTATTTTTTCAGATTTATCACTGCTTGACCATTAACATTACAAATACGTACACTCAGCCGGTGGACAGCTGTGATGAACTGAGAGGGTTATAACGTTCAGTTGCACTGATTGTTTAAACAGTTTAACAAAATACATCATCAAGGTAGACTTTGTTATCTGCTGAATCTGTTGAGGTATAACAGAACACAATAACATGTAGCGAGGACTGTACAAAATCACGTGTTCAGCAATAAGCTAGCTTAGATTGTGTCTACATTGTGTACTTCTTTTACATGAATTCTTCACTCTTTCTCTTTGTTACATTTGTACATTAAAGAGAAAGTTGTGATCAGTGCCAACAGAAAAGGAAGATAATGAAAGTCATCAAAAAGCCTTTCAGGAACATCACTCTAAATGGCAGTATTATTAGCCGTATTTCGTGGATTCAAGTATCTGTACAGCAGATCAAGCTTCTTGCTCCTAGCTTCAGTTTTCTGCTTTTCAAACTGTGCCATCAGTTTTCACGGCATCTCCTTGTTGGACAACACTTCAGGGTAATGTCCAAGTGGACACTGAGAAAGTACAACAGAACAACTTTTTCATTTCATTTTGCACTTTTCCATTCCTTTATTTTACATTCATTATCATGTCCTTTGGTGCTCGTTGTGCAGTGTAGTGGAGTATATGAACTCACCCAATCAGAGGACTCCTGGCTCAGCAATACACAACAGCCATTGCGTTAACCGTGGTGCTAACTTCAGGTAAGGTTGCAAGTGCAAGTGTAACAAGTGCAGAATGTGGTTTGAAATAAGCCTGAACATCCCTGAAAAAATGGCATCTAAAAGACAGGACATATTGCTCCAAAATGTGTTCAGCATTGATGGTGCCTTCACAGATGACAGACCAATACCATCCTTTACTTCTTTGCCCTGGTGAACACGACATCCATTATTCCCATAAAGAATCTGAAAAGTTGACTCATCAGACCACAATACACATTTACACTGTGCATCAGTCCATTTCACATTAGCTCAAGCCCAGAGAAGTTGGCGGCGTTTCTGGACACTGTTGACGTATGGCTTCCACTGTGCACAGTACAGTCTTAATTTGCATTAGTGAATGCAGCAATGGATGTTTTTTACTGACAGTTTGTCAGAGTCCATGTGGTGCTTTCCATCACAGAAGCATGCCGGTTTTTAAAGCAGTTCAGTCTGAGGGGTTGAAGGTCACGGGCATTCATTGTGTTTTCAACCTTGTCTTTTATACATGGAGATTTCTCTGGATTCCCTGAATCTTTTGATTATATTCTGCACTGTGGATATATGTGAAATAACATGGCATGTGATGGAGATGGAAGGGAAGGACACAAGTACACAGTTGTGGCGTTTGCAATCAAGTCTTTACTTTGCTTCTCACTTGCAAAAGTGTCTGATACAGGAACAATATATTTACAAGGAAAGAGGGATAATACAATGAGCTCAGCTGAATGCGTATAGATTAAAAGAAAAGGAGTTAACTAACCACCAAGTATGCAAGAACATTGACTAAGGGGACCCAACCAACCGCAAGGGTGGACGGAGGACAGTGCCAAAGAAATGAAAAATGAAGAAAATGAAGAAAACCAAAGTCTAAACTGCCTAGCCAAGGCTAATCCTCACCAAAATACAGCGGGTGGCACTCGCCCCTTACCTGATGTGTCTAAACAATCCGACCACTATTGTGTGTGCATATGTATAGGCGCGCCCAACTTGCCTGTCCACACATGCGCTGGGAGAGAGAAAACAGCAGAGAGAGAGAGCTAGAGAGGGAGCACAGGAGACTAGCATTACTGGCTTCATATTCACGACTAAAGTAACACAGCTTGACACCACAAGTCTCATGCACGCTAAACGCTCCCCTCCATAACTAATCTCAGGTGAATCCTTTTATCTGCCAAGGCCTGCCCCTCGGCAGAAAGCAGCCATCTGGATTGGCGGAGAGAAGAGCACAGCCAAGCATTTGATGGTCCTTTTATCCACACCTGCAACACGATCTGGTTGGGTGAAAGAGGAGAGAGAGAGAAAGAAAAAAAAGAAAAACAAAACATATGTGCATCGCAGGCACGCAACACGCCCCCCCTAAAAGAGAGCAACATTAGTTTGCGGCTTCCACACAAAGTCAACGATAAACCACAAACACCATTTCTAACTAGTGTATGCTTGAGAAAGAGCATCTGCCACCACATTATGAACACCTTTTTTGTGTTTAATATCCAGCACATAATCCTGTATTAAAAGGGCCCACCTCATCAGATGCTGATTTTGATTATATATCCTGGATAAAAACACCAAAGGGTTATGATCTGTATATACTGTGATGGGCAAACTGCTCGATCCAATATACACATCAAAATGTTGAAGTGCTAAAAGTAAGGCTAAAGCTTCCTTTTCGATGGTAATATAATGGAGTTGATGTTTGTTAAATATTTCGTGAGAAATAACACACAGGATGTGCTAGACCGCAGCCATCCTCTTGCAATAATACTGCTCCTGCACCAACTGCACTGGCATCAATCTCCAATTGGAATGGCTTTGTGAAATCTGGAGCAGCAAGAACAGGCGCCTCACTTAAGAGCACTTTCACACTTTGAAATGCATGTTCACAATCAGAGGACCACCGAAATTGTACGGAAGGGCTGAGCAATTTAGTGAGTGGCTCAACAACAGTGGTAAAGTTTCTACAAAACCCCCTATAGTACCCAGCCATGCCTATAAACCGGCACAGTTCACGTCATGTGGCTGGAGTAGGGAAGTATACAATAGCCGCTACCTTAGCGTCTAGTGGACGCACATGACCTCCACCTACTTGCTTTCCCAGATCGGTTGCAGTGGCTTTTGCAAACTCACACTTTGCTAGATTAAGGGTTAGAGAAGCAGTGGCTAAGCTTTCAAAAAGTGTGCGCAAAGTTCTCACATGGCTGGTCCAATTAGATGAATAAACAACCAGGTCATCTAAATAAGCAGAACGACCAGGAACATCACCTACTACATTGTTAATGAGTCTCTGAAGCGTAGCTGG